ACTATTGCATGACCTTTGCTGCTGTCTCTTATACACAACTAGATGTGTATAAGAGACAGTATATATAGTTATGTTTCTTTAACAGGGGAAGGAGAAGGTGGCAGAGGATTTTACTCTAGATTTGCATAAAGTAGGCTAAACTAATTCCTCCATGATTAAAGTAGCAGTTGATGTAAGTGGACGGGAGTACAGTTTACTTTCAACTTGAACTCAATGAAATTTATTATAGGTTAATATTAAAGCTCTCATTAATGCTGTTTAATTATATGGCAGTATTTTTTAATTGGTAACTATTTCAGTCATTTGTCTATTAGTAATTATTATATTTATGCATTTCATTTCATGAAACACTTATTAGTTATTATTCAGTGGGATTCGTGCTTAAAAAATACTACAAAAAGGTGTAGCAAATATTGTTCTTTATTGTTGGAATGTTGTTAAGCAAATCAAGAATTATAATTATTAATATAATTGTCATCATAATCCTCATTGTCATATCTTATGCGTCATTGTCATTATCGACATCACCCTTACCGTTAACCTCACAACTTCTCCAAGCTCAGTGTGAAGAAAGAGTGTTACAACAAAGTGTCATATGTGCTGTAACCCAAAGTATACAGCAAGATCTTGTAATAGTTTGCATGACAAAATAGAGGCACACTGCTGGATAAGAAATCTAGTAGATTTTAGGGCTGTGCAGTGACAGCAGGACGGTGCGAGCCATTGTACTGTACTCTGTGGATATGTGTTCCTTTGTGATGAATAAAGATTTACCTTTGGAGTAGCTATAGGTCAGTCTTCCTGTTGTATTATTTCATCTCGGATGAATACACGACAGACCCGATTTCACATTTTGGTACTATTTCAACCATAGTAAATTTAAAAAAAAAACAAAAAAAAAACAAAACATTAGGTTACACCTGCTTATTTAGTACAGACATGGACACTACACTGTAAAAAATGTCAATTTACCGTAAAAAGTATGGCAGCAGTTTTTCCAAGAAAAAACCGTAAATTTACGGGCTTTATCACAGACATCGTAAACTGTTATGCAGTTATAAACCGTAAAATCTAAATTTATTCCTCCAAAAACTGTAAAATACTTTACCATTAAAAATCCGTAAAATTTACGGTAATTTTAAAAGTAACTGTTAAATAATTTACGGTTTCTGAAATATAACCCCTGTAAGTTTTGCGTTTTTTCTTTGCAAATCTGCTGCCCCTACATTTTACCGTAAAATTAACTATCTTTGTACCGCAAAATTGACATTTTTTTCTACAGTAAAACTTAATTATTATTTTTTGGATAGAATACTACGTCTTTTTACTGTAAATGGCAGTACTGTACCATTGGTAAAGATTTCACATTATAACAACCTGGCACTGCAAACAGTAACTATTTTTTAATCATTTTCAATGACCAACTAACACTACTTCGGATCGTAACTAAATTTAATTTTGGTTACGATCCGAAGTAGTGTTGATATGAGTATTTAAAAAAAAAAACAAAAAACGTTCCAAACAAGATATTTCAAAAACTGATTAACTGATCTAATAAAAGTGTTATGTAGGTCAACGTGTTGTAGGGCACGCACGAATTCCTGGCCATGTGATTTGGTCAGTGAACTTTGACACTTCAAAAAGGTATATCGGAGCAAGTGGACAGTTGTTAAAGACTGTTGTTGGAAACGATCTTCTGCTCGATGCATCTCATGGTACTGTGCTTGCTAAATTCTAATAGTCTGCTCTCAGTTTTTCTTATTTATTGACTAAAACAAACGCAAATATATTTGATCAATTGTTATTTATTGCAACCAACTACAATGTTAGTAAAACAACACATTACTCGTTAATTTGTTTTCTAAATTATATTTCACACAAGAAAAGTTGGAACCTAAAGCAGCATAATACTGGAAACTGGTGTATGCCCATAGTCATAATATGCATATATATCGTCAATCATGATGTAATGTCATCGTTACCATATTTAGGCATTTTTTCCCAATAAAACGTCATAGTTTGGGTAGGGCTTAACATAAACACATTAATTTAAAACAAATCAGGTCTACCTGTTTTCACGTCACAACTTAACCTTAAGCATAATGCCATCAGTAAGGAAAATCATAAATACTTCAAATGAAAATTTGAATGCAAAAAAAGAGCATAAATTCTGTCATGTTTAGGTTTATACAAATAATGAATGTTTACTAGTGCAATGGGAATATTTTTATGAGTTGAAAGATTGACTGTTTCATTCAACGAGACATAAACACCTAAAAAAGATTCTTGTCATTTAATATTTTATTAAAATAGAATTAGGCCTCTATCGGTTCCTTTCTTGAAATCAGAAGTTTTAAAAACAAACAACTTGCAACAATTTGGTAATCAAAATACAGTCAACATTTAAATAAACAAGATTTGATATTTCATAATGGAACAGACCTTTACCTTTTTCAACCATTAAAAAGATTGTATATGGTGGAGACATGCAATGGGACAAACGAATGAACACAAAATGCAGATGTAGGTAAATTTAAATGAGTGACCAAATGGTATAAATAACCAATGTCATGTACTGATACCAAATCCACCAATCAAATACGAAGGATCTACTCAGGCATGTTACACTAAATACAATACTCACTCTTTATGATTTATCAAAATATCCCAATTAGTTAGTTAAGACAAATAGAATGACATTCTGCAAAGTTGGAACCCAGGTCCTTGGGACTGGAAAGCATGGCTCCACTCAATAATATTAAGTAATGCAAGCCCGTAGCCAGGTTCTTCCAAGAAGCGGGGGGGGGGGGTTTCTGGGCGTGAAGTCCACGGTCAAGTCCTGGTGGGGTCGGTGAAACCCCCAAAGCAAGAGGATTTTTGTGCGTTATGGGTAAAAATAATGCTATAAAAGCAGATATGTTTGAAAACGTCTGTGTCTCTGTGGGTCTGTAGTGCATTAGTTGGGTCGGAGGATTTATTTGGAAAATTTTAGGAGGGGGGGATTCGCCAGAAAAGATACACATCTTATGGGCCTGTAATGTATCCTAATAGTAAATCTCTGTCAGTTCAGGATTATGCAAAAACATGAATGGATCATCATAAAATTTAGTGGAATGGTACATATCAATTCAAGGTAGAGGTGATTAAATTTTGGGGTAAAATGGTCAAATGGCAAGGTTTCAGAAATTCAAGAAATCATGGAAACTGCATGTACTATCTGGTTTTCAGGGCAGAGGTATTTTCTCAATGCAGTCACTGCACTTATATAGTTTAAAATATATTTGTCACAACGATGCTAAAGGTGATATTGCACTACTATTTATTTTATATTTTTCTTTAATATTATCTAGCTTGTAACAATATACAAATATAATGCATGTCTTTACATTTTATTGAAAATCAAATCCCCCAAACAACAATACCCCCACTACTCCACACACACACACACACACACACACACACCCACATATACCCACACACGCACACACACACCTACGTCTGTAAGCTGGACGGATGTAAAAATCACACATAATATTTCTAAGCATAAAATTCACACTCATATTTTAACAATAATTATATGGGATATTTGAAACTGTTATGTGAACTATTACAAACCAATGAGAGGTTACAATGTTACAGTTAGTAAAGCATGCAAAGAATTGCACCAAACTGGAGAGATCCTATCAGGAACAATATTATACAAAATCAATAACTATAATTTATATTGATGGAAACATTTGCATGTACTATTTCATGACCTTTGCTGCCTGCGGGAGAACTGTAAAAGCAGCAATGGGAATTGAACCAGGGACGTCCACGGTTCAGTATACACACAAAGTGGCTACCACCAGTTTAGCTGACTAGCTAGCTGTTCTCAAGGTGTACAAGTTATTGAAAAAATAATAATCATGATTATTATGATTTTTATCACTATCAAAAGTACTATATAAATATATTTTACAAGAAAAATATTTTCATAACAATATTCCTAATTTTAGTAACCAATAAAATAATTATTATTTACAAATATGGAATGATGGAAGATTGCTCAAACATTTATTGTTAAATACCAAAAATTATCTAATTACAAAAATAATAAATTTATCATTATAAATCTTTCTTAACACAGAACATACAAATTGTTTCTATTATACAAATATATGTTAAATATAATACTATATATATATATATATATATATGATATATGATATAATATATGTATATATATATATATCATCAAAGAAAGGTAATTACAGTGTTCAAATAAAGGACATATGGTACTTGTAGCATAGCTCTCAACAAATGTCCTATAAATAAATAAATAAATAATACATTGTGTAATAAAATGCTGGGATTTGAACATATGACCTGTTGCTGTGAGGCGAGTGCCATAACCATTTGACCACAGAGGCTTTATGGTTGAACAGATTCAAATAACCGTCAGGAACACTCTATTACACAATGGGCACACAGCTAGAAATAAATATTAACACCAATATAAATCAAGATAGCCATTAACAGTGTATTTACCTTTCTTTAATGATTTTCTATTGTAGTATATATATATATATATATATATATATATATATATATATTAATATTCAACTTCATAAGTAATTTTCGATCAAACATATATACATAATATACAAAATAAAATACTATCAAGTTTAAAATATATGACACAGCTTCGATAAATCACTGATTTACTTGCTCCCTTGATCAGCAACACATGTAGACAAGCTTGGCTGATAGGGTTTTGTTTAAAATCGATCTGTAAAATATTCTAAACTTTAGAGGTAGAGGGCTAACTGAAACACATGCTAAGATTCTAAAGCAGCTCCTTATGGAGATTTGTTTTATAGTACCCTCCTTAATAACACCTACTCTTCGTCGTCTGCCCTGGTTACCTGCAACGCATTTAAATTGTTGCTTTTCACATAATAATCATTAAATAATAAATCACCCTCATACATATCCAACCTGATTAAACTTCGCTCCACCACTTGTTCTAGAGCTTTAAGATCTACATCTAGTTCACCTACATTATTCATCCCTTCATGTCGTACAAGAACATATGGTGAAAGAGCATTTTCCGTTGCTGCTCCCAAGGTGTGGAATAGCTTGCCTATCTTTTTTTTCGCGAGTCTCCTTCTGTTGAGATATTTAAAAATCGTCTCAAGACTCATCTCTTTAGTTTATTTTAATTTGCAAATTTCTAGCACATATAGACCTATGTATTTTGCGCTTTACAAATCCAAATTATTATTATTATTATTAATACTCAATTAAAAACTGTAAGTGTAGGCCCACACCAACTCAATCAAGTGCACTTCAACCCAGTACATCCTTCAAGTGCAGAAGGGTGGGTGTTTTGGTTAAGAGCCTGCTGTGGCTGATAGATGATTGGCCACAAAATGACATGAGACCCTTTGAGGAGTACAAAAGGCGATAAATACAAAAATTTATGGTTCCAAGTATGTACCCTTTACAACGTACATCTGGCTGCCTAATCCTACGTTGAGGATAAGTTTCTTCCCCAAACAGGCTTGCATTGAATATGTTCAGTTTTATTAGGTGAGGTCAGTATAGCATTGTCTTCATTTTCATTAGACCTCTTCTTTTCCCATTCCTCACTTTTCGGGCGTGCATCAACCTCAAACTTTTTTGTGGATCGAGCTGGGTCACTTTTGCGCCGGTGTCGTTCTGTCCCTGAAATCTTTTTCTGGACCATGCCTTGTAATGAAGAAGTTAATGCTCTGGAACAAGGGTTTTGTGCTTTCTTTACCGACTGATTTTTCTTAAAGGTCTTGCTTCCTTTCAACAAATTTTTACGACACAGAAATTCATTCCCGATGTGCTCGTTTTCTACTTCCAACAACTTGAGGCTCTCCAGTTTTTCCAGAACTTCATCGACTGTCGGAGACAAGCAGTCCAGAAGGTGATTAAAATGGTAGGGATCAATTTTTTCACCTGGAAGGATAAACGATATCCCAGATCCACCTGAGGATACTTGAGACACACTGCCCTGGCTGATTGTACCTCGTGATGAGAGGGAATGCATGGATACGGAATCAACGCCAGCAAAATTAACACGGTGACGAAATTCCTAGAAATATAATTTAAAGTTAAGAATCATACACCTGCGCTGATTACTAGCTGCAATTTATGGAATGATAATATAATTTCATTTACTAATTTAATTTGGTGTTTCAATGTGTTCCATATGTGTTAGATTTAATGACCGGGGTAGTAATGTGAAGCGCTTAGAAGCCTTGTAAAGGCATGAAGCGCTATATAAGAACGACATATTATTATTATTATACAAACATAATTTTTTTTTTTGCATACATCACAAAAGAATTCAGCTTAATGTTTGAATTAATTGAATGAAAATCTCTTTTGTAAACAATAAAATTGTTACAAGAAAATAAAGTTATTTTTTTTACTACTATAAAAAATTTATTTTGCAGATATAATGCACTGTATTGATATTATAAATCTTAGTTGTTTTGATATCGTGATGTTGGTGATGAAGATAAAAATAAATTAAAAAAAACACTGAACCGTGAATATTACATTTATAAACTGCATCAGCACAAATTGTTAACTGTACACTAAACTATATAGCCCAAAAGTAGTCTGCACTAAATGTTAATATTAATATTATTATTATATTATTGTTATAATTACTATTACTATACCTCATAAATATTATGTAACAACTTTTCTTTGGTTAATTCTATACATTATTAAGGGGTGCGGTAGCTTATACTACTTCCCTGCATGTGTCAAATTTACGCGTACTTGAGGAAAATATTACTACCAAAATCTGACTACCGCATGTGAACCTTCTACTGAATTGCCTATGAAACCATACCTTGGGTTTTATGATGCCAAGCCGTTTCTTAAATCTTTCAATCATAAAATCGATCATATTATGATCTTGAAAATTTAACGTTTCCACCTCACTCCTCTGGGAGCCCCTGTAATTTTTGATAACGACTGCGGCAAACAGACATGTCACCAGAACCAAGCAGAAGTAAAAGAACGCTGACATGAACATAGCTCCCCAGACTGGGAAGCGATCCAGCAGAGGTGTCAGACTCTGGCTCGAAGCACCGGTTATATACGAATACAGGTAAAACGTAGCTGACCCGACTGATCGGAAGTCAGACATTACCGGTCCAAATAACTGCAAGAAAATTTTACAAATATTAATACACATCTTCAACACTAAATCATGATTTCTAGGCACAGTTGCATATGTAGGGGAGGGTGGGGCACCCCTTAAAAAACTTGTGCACACCTCCCCCATTGAAAATATTTAAAGCAAAAAAAAATTGCTCAAGTAAATAAAAATCACCTCATATCACTTTATAGTATTTTGCGAACTACCTAAGTTTATTTGCATATATTTAATCTTTTAAATTAAAAATACCTTGCATTAACCTTAAAATAAAAGTATCTTAAGTTATGCTGACATCACTGAATTACTTTCAAAAGGGCGAAACGGTTAATTAAACACACACGTAGGTAGCACATTTCCTAAAACTTTTTTAGCTATAAATTTTTATAACATCAGGCCATTATTATGTACGTTTTTCTTAATAATTGCTCTCTCCTCCAATCTTTCCTTTTTAAAACAATAATAAAATACTACAGCTAATCAAAATATAATAAAAATCTTCTAAAATTGTCTATAGCGCGAAAGGTTTTAAACTCAAATAAGGACAATATGTTTTCCTAAAAAGTAAACACTATGTAAATGTAATTAATCAAGCCTAAATTCCATTTATATTTTTTATTTTAAAAAAAAATGATTTTAGACTACAATTTGTCATGAATCAAAAACCTATAATGAGATAAAAAAAAAATACCTGGTTTCCAAGAAAACTGAATCCTAAAATCAGGAGGAAGAATATTACAGAAGCACCCATTAGCAACCAGAAACACTTTTCAAGAACAGTCAAGAATGACACCAGCCATGAACTGAATCTTAGCACCTGTAACACCTGTGGACATATTTTAAAAAATTTTTCAGCCAAAGTAAAGAGAAATTATGGAGCAATATGTATATATCATTGATATATTGGCCGACTGGTATGGCAGGGAGCTGCAAACAACGGCACTGGCTCAAGCCCCTCCTCGCCTAGGGTTCGGGTTGGTAGAGCCAAGTCTTCACGGATAAGGACTTAAAATGGAGGTCCAGTGTATACATCTGGCTTGTGTGCAATTTAAAGAGCTCACTTCATCTTTTGGATAAGTAGGAGGTTATCCCGATGCCATGGTTCCTTTCAGCCCCCTGTCGTTGTGGAATAATAGAACAAGTAGATATTATAAGCACTTCTTTATGTCATCTAGGTAGTGATGAACCACGCCCATATGCAATTCAGCACAATGACATTGCGAGTTATGAGTTATTCTCCTACCTTTACCGTTATACACATTGGGAAGGAGGAAGTCCTTTTACGAGCTAGTCCATGCCCCAAGCGCTTTGAGACTTCCGCGTAAAATTTGCCTATATAAATTTTGTTGAATGCAACATTCTCTCCCTTCAAAACAAATAACAAAGAGGACATATGATAATGACAAACCTTTACTGTTGCAATGAACACAAGTAATCCGTAGCAATGTATTAGTACATCTGAATAAAGGGCTGCACGATAGAAATTAACAAACACACCAGGATCATCTGTGTATTTATTCAGTGCGTGGTTGGAGTGAACAACTTGTACAAATAGCAAGCAGACGATTGCAATTCCCAACATCACCATGACAACGCTTAGCAGACGCCAAAAAGATGTGAGAAACTGTAGAATCCCACAATGCAACATGTCGGTGATCATTATGTAGGTGAAGTAAATTAGTAGGAGAATAAACAGAACCTGAATTATAAGAAAAAATAACTTTATTAAAATCATGACTGGCATATTAATAGAATTTATATTAAATTATTCACACTGACCTAAAAATGAAAAATACTTTGATTACATTATAAGTGAATTAGCCTATATAAAGAAACAACCAACATGTGCATAAGCAATACCTGCATACATAATTTTCTTTTACATTGAGCCTTAATTGTTTTTAATGTTTACTCACATGTCTACTGCCAAAACACATTCAATAAAATATTTGATTTAAAATGAAACAAACCTCACTGACAAGAAGACCTGTTGCTTGAGAGTAGCGATCTAGACTGGCAGATATTATTAATGGTGAGGAAACAGCGCCACCTGAAGACAGATGTTAGCCATATTAATATATCACATAATACACATTTTTACAATATCATCATTACAACGTCCTTGACTATGTTTAAGGACCGCCTAAAAAGCAACTTTTTAATATTTACTGTCTCTTTTTTTATTTATTCATTTTTGAGTGCAATAGAGATATCATAGGGTGCTATATTAAAAACCTATATATTTATTATTATTATTATTATTATTATTATTATTATTAATATTATCATTATGATGATGATAATATTATTATTAATATTATCATCATCATAATCACTATCACAATCATCACTTTTTATATATTCATTTTTGAGTGCAATAGAGATTATCATAGGGTGCTATATTAAAAACTTATATATTTTTTATTGTTATTATTATTATTATTATTATTATTATTATTATTATTATTATTATTACTATCACCATCATCATTTTCGTCATCATCATTGTTACCGCCACCGTCATTGTCGTTTTTTGATTCAGCAATCATTAACTTATACTGTTCGCCCTCCAATTCAAGGCCAATTTGGGACGTGAAAATTTGGGGTGTTCTTGGGGTTCAGGCTCCAATTACAGGGTCAGGTGTGTGTTAAAAGACTGACGATTGTTATTTGGTTCTTTTAAAAAAGTGGTCTCGATTTATAGGTGTCTCGGAATTAGAGGGGTCTTGAATTGGATGGTGCACTGTAATGTTATTGTCATCATCATCATCATCATCCCATCATACTCTTTCAGTCAATATCACCATTATCTAAGTGGTTGTAATCATTTCAAAAACATTATTATCATTATTATTCAGCCATCATCAGTCAGTAATATTGTTGTCATTATCTTTGTAATCATCAGTATTCTGCCATCAAAAATGAGTGCCATCATTGTCATCATAAATTGTTATCATCATCATCATCATCGTGGTTCTCACCACTTTCATCGTAATTTATATAATCATCATTGCAATCGTCCTCCTGTCATCATCATCATCAATACTTTCAAACTTTACTCACAAATAATAATTATTATTTTATTAATATCATTATTCAGTCAAATAAACACATTAAAACAGAAACAGAATCTGTACTCACTTGACAAAGGAAACTCAATCAAAAGATTGAATACAGAGTACAAATTGAGGTTGCCATTGTAAAACGTTGCCTCTACAAACACCGCCCTGGTTCTGAAATTAACATTTAAAGCATTATAAGGACAAAGAAGCATGCACTGCAAGGTATCTAGCTGCACCAACAACTAAATTTCAAAAACAATCCTCTGGCGTAAGCCCACCCCCTATGATTTATATATTACAAAGTCAGCTGAGCTACTCATTTAAATCATACTATGGGCTTTTGCTCGAGGCTGTAGCATAAACAAAAAATGTGGAACTCATGAAATTTGGTCACGATGACATCAAATAATGACCATATATAAGTAGATCACGACTATATGGGTCATTCTGTGTCAAATCAACAAATTTTTTGGAAAATGGTTCGGGTCACCTCTCGGATTTTACTGAAATTGATCTATCTATATAATGAACATATGCAAAAAAAACAATTCAAAAATCCAAGTCGTTTCCGAGTTACGGCCTGTCAAAGATACTAAAATGTGTTAAACGTGTTTAATTCGCTTATTTTCCATTTTAGAATACCCCAGTGCTTTTAAATTAAGATACAAAGCTGAAAATTGCTATACATAGTCAGTTTTACCCAAGGAACTTAGATCTGGCATAAAATAAAATTTATCTCATCTCCTTTTGTCTGTATGAGCTACTGAAAATGACAATTAAATCGAATTAAATTTCATTTTCAGACCTTAAAATTACCCATAATTACAATACATAAAATAGTCTGACATTACACACATTTAAACTAAAATTTCATAGGGGACTAAAGTTGGTAGCACACTAAAAATCTAGGAAAAACGCTGTAATTCTAGGTGACCTTTTACTTTGATGGCACTTCACCCCATCATGAAAGTTGCACCATTTGTTAATGCATGTCTAAGCTACCTCTGTACCAAATCTTATTGTGGTGTCTCTTTTCCTTCATAGTTAGATGCATTTTTTAAATTGTGGTATTTTTTTTTTTTTTTGGGTATGCTGGTAATAGTAGTGGTGGTTAAAAAATGGAACAATGCCGGCCAAAAAAAAAAAATTTAGGGGGCGGGGAAAATTTACCCCTTATGTTGCAACATTATGGTCAACATAAGTGGTAATTTTGACCCCCAGGGCTTCAATTTGAGGTTTTACGGCATATGCCAATTAATATCCCTGGGTCATTTAATAGTCCGGGGCCCTGGTTTCAGCCAGTGAGAGCTCATAGGTGTTAACGCCACTGGCCCGAAGGAAGGATGTAAGAAACTCAGCTTAAAGCAGGGGTTGAGCTTATTCCAGAGAACTATGGTATCATAAGTATAAAATGCTTACTGTCGATCCAGCCATCTGTAGTCTGTAAGTATGTGTAAGATGTCCACTGTGTCACTATACGATGAACCTAGGTTTTGCACAAACCCTCCACCAGAATATTTACCAATCTGACCTCTCACAGACAACCTGGAAAAGGAATGCAAAACACCAAACAATGAGCTAAAATGGATACATAACTACAGAAGTAGATACCATAGATTTATATTTGAACTACTGCAGCTTTCAATGTTTTTGAGAAATTTTGTTCATCCATGTTAAAACTTTCATTTTTTTTTTAATGAGCATTTATATAGCACATTTTCTTTCCAAAAATTATGGTTCTTTCAAATGCTCACTGGACACAGAATCAATCAGTTAAAAGCTCACAACTTCTAAATTAAACCAAGAAAAACTTCTGCACTACAAAAAAATGCACTCTCTATGTCAAACAACATTGACCTTGTTCCTGTTTTATTTTCATTAATATAGTTTTGTGAGGGAAACATTTTCATCCACATAAACAAAATAATGAATAAACCTTGGTGTATATAGATTTATATTCTCCACATTATATCTTACCCATTCAGCTCTTGGCTCAACTTGTAGGTCCAATTTAAATTACTTGATACAAAAACACCCCTATCCTCAGAATAGGATGTTCCTCTTCCATAGCATACATCATCAAAATAGTTTTTATATTCACTGGATTCTTCCACTTGGCATTGTTCTGAGGGATGAATCAAACATTGAAATCTAGTCAGCAGCAAGTCTTAATAATAATAATACTGAATTTATATAGCGCCTCCCATTGACACAACCTCGAAGCGGAATTAAACCAAGGAACCTATGAATGAAAGGCAATCATACTAACTACCAATCTATTCAAAACCACTACCTAACCATGCTATAAAATAATGTGCATTAAACTAATTCATTCAATGCCACAACGTCCTACCAGGTACCCATTCATGGGTAGAGAAATGGCAATTGTAGGTAAAGTGCCTTTTCCAAGGCAACAAGCAAAAATAGGAATATTCAAAGTATTCAAACCATTGACCTTAAGAAAGAAAACCTAAACCAGGAAAATAGAGAGGTAGAGGTAGGAATGTCTGATTACAATTGGCAGATGGAAGTAATGTAGGTATGTAATATGAGGGAGTGAGAGAGGGAGGGAGGGAGTGAGGGAGGGATATATATATATTGATTTTACTTGCTAGGTTTATTATGATCTGTGTTCTGTTGTTCATGCAGTAGGCCTAGTACGTTTCACAGACGCATCATTGGAATTCCTCTGCATTCCTAGATTACAGTTGACGTTGTCAATAGTACATGTATCCTATGCCTAGTTTGTATTTTGTATTCTTGTGTTAGGCTTAATTTCTTAATATTTCATCTAAGAATTTGTTTATTGTTTCCTATATCTGTTTCAGTTTATCGGACTGATGGTTTATAGTAAAACAGTCAATATAAGTATTTCATTGGTTCTTACAACAAATAAAGAACCAAGAAACTGTACCGCATTAGCAAGTGTGTCATTGGCTAATTACAATATGTAAAGAAAAATACACTTAAAATCTCGGTTTTTAATATATATATTTGCATGCATTAATTGAGCAATTATAACCATTTAGCTATACCCCAAACAATGCTTTAGTTGTAGGCAGCTTGTAAGTAAGTTACTATTTCCAGCTTACGTTTGTATTTGGTTGAAGTTTCTATGTTCATCCCCAAACACGGCATTGACATAAACATCTTTCATTACGGAGACTGTGTCAATCCCAGCCTGGTTCTGACTCAGGTAGCTAATGATCATCACCACTACAAGAAGGGTGATGAACACCCAAAGATGTCGTAACATGGCATGCATCATTGCTAGCCTCCGCCCCTCCTCTTTTGCCTGCAGAAGTCCGAATCCCTGCGGAGGTCGTATGATGTGAGCGTAATTCGCAAGCTCTTGATGCTCGTAGACAGGATTATCAATGACGTTATCATCATCGCTGCAGCAACTGTCAAGTGACTCGTAAGATGAAGCAGAATACAATGCAAACAGGAGCACCTGTGAAAGAAGTTTTGGATACAGTAATAGTAAGTGGAGCTTGATATCAGTGGTGGACATGCACCACAGGGAAGCATGAGAGACACTGACCTCCCCGTGGTTGTTTTCCCTTAGAGACAAAAATTAAACAATTATTATCAATCGACATCCTTTTGACAATCATATTTTTCACACTTGTACATTCTGTTTAGTTTTCTCCCCCACCTCTTCTTTACCAACTCCAGCTCGGTGACAATGCTTGCTAGTTACATTGTTCACCATTAAACCCTAAAGCCCTCTCCAGAATATCACATTTTATTTAACAAAAACATTTAACATGCCTAAATATGGTCATGATAACATCACATCATGACCATATATAGGCATGTGATGACTATATATGGGCATACAACAGGTTTTTTTTGTCAAACAACAACAACAACAACAACAAAAACAACAACAACAACAACAACAATAATAAACAATATCATGGCTAGAAAGTTATATGTTTGGTCTCAAATTTACTGAGTGTATAGAGGCAGCCTAAGGCACACACAAATAGAAAAAAATAATAATAAAGTGGCATTAGACAAATAATGGAGTTGGAACAATACGTCCAAAACCCCCAAATTCAAGGAAACATCTAAAACTCGTACCTTAGCTGGTTCCAGTAGAAGCATGGATATTGTTAAAGAGATGACCAATGTGATAATCCATCTCACTGTAACCTTTTGACCAAACTGACTACCATACAGAAACACAACCACTCCACAAAGGATGACAATTCCAAAACACATAATGTAATTGATGTAGACAAACCATGGGGGCAGCAGACATCTTTTGCAGGAAGTACAGGTGGGTGACTGCCTCTTGGCATTCCTCCTTGAGACTGAAGTTTTTTAGAACAGTAAAATTCATGACACCAGTAGTACAGTATAACAATGAGTGCTAATGATAATTACGAACAAAGCAAATAAACTCATTTGATTAGGATTTTAATAACAATAGTATGACAATAATGACGATTATGAAGGTAAGTCTAACACCTGATTCACACGTAAAAAAATCTAGCAAAATGTAACAAATTGTTACATTTACACAAGCGTGTGAATGCACATCCATGTAAAACAAATGTAACATCCGTGTAATAGCTCGGTAATATTTGCAGACCTCAGTGAGATCTGTAAAGATTACTGAGGTGTATCAAAAAGCCACTTTTCATGCTTTAAATATATTTTATAGATCTGTAGTTACCATTTTACCAACCACCATAAGTAAAGGTTAGCAATGTTCTAAATTAGCCCTTGATTTCCAACCCCTGTATTCTTAAAATGAACTATAGTTGTAGTTCAAGCTAAAACTTCAAAATTACGTCATTTCATATTATTAGAACGACCTTCGACTAGCACTACGTCTAAATCATGCGAACCTCGACTAAAATGATACCTCCGCATAAAATGATACCTCTGCAATTTGATTTTTTTTTAGTCAGTTTAGGGCAAGGCTAAATCGCCGACTTGCAATATCGGCGTGCATAATGTACAGAAATATAAAGTACTTTTACAAATGGCAATACATACCTGGCATGCTTGAAGTTGCTGCTTGAGGTTCAATTGTGACACCTGCCAAGGTACAGTTGGAATCGCTAGTTCCTTGACATATGCCCTCATCAGACGAAAGGACACCTGTTTTGCTACAAACAAAATATATAACATATTATAAAAATTAATAAATATCAAACACTGAAAGAAATCAGATACAGAGTGTGTAGTAATTTTATAGAAAGCAGTCTTTACTAGACAGTGTGCAGGGGAAACGGCCATAAACAGTGTACAAAGTTCTTTGAGCCAGGGAACAAATGGCTTAACTTTTCTCAAAAGAGTCAGGTAGTTAGATGAGTTATTTCCCCTTTAGATAAATATTATCTATAAATTTAATAAAATAGAAATATTATTGATATTAAAATCAACAATAATAATATTACTAATTAGCAATAGGCCTAATAATAATACTATAATAATGCAATAATGGTGATGAGGAGAATTATAACGATGATGACAATATGTGGCAGATTTAGACAAGCCAAGCCAGCAAAACTTTCAAGTATCAAGTATTAATTTTATTCCAAATCAATTCAAAACTTCAGTAAATAAAGGAATGAACTAGGAACTCGACCAATGACTTTCTTCGCCCCTAAGGGCCCCTTTGTGTCTGTGCCAACCGGTAACCCGGTACCAGCAACTCTCGTCGTCCACCACAGGGGCTGTCTGTTCCAGTACACTGGGGTAATTCCCTACTCGTCTCGAAGGATGTACTGGGTTCTTTATAGTGCACACGAGCCATTGTATACACTGGGCCTACGGTTTATAGTCCTTATCCGAGAAGACTTGTTCTACCACCAGAACCATAGGCAAGCGTGCCGTTCGAACCAGCGCCGATATTATGGCTATAGCTTGCGGCGTCCCTGCTAACCGCTCGGCCATTCGACTCAACAAGTTTAGTGTAGTTTGTGATTTTTGGTAGATGTATTAGTTACATTTACAGAAAGTGTTTGACCAATATTAACAAAGAATGAATTTAATGCTTCTAATTTTTCAATAGTTTGTACAAATGTTTTATTACCCGATTTAAGTTTAGGTGGTAGTGTTGTATTTTTATTATTCCTTCCTAAAACATTGTTGATGGTTTTCCATGTATGTTTCGAATCATTTTTATTTTGTTCGAATTGGTTTAAGTAATATTCCTTTTTTCGATTTCTAATTTCAATGTTTAATTTATTTCTGAACGAAATGTAAATTACTTTTGTTTTTATGTGTTGGATTTTGCCTATATTGACTGTATAACCTATCTTTTTACATACAGATTTTGCATTACTAAATACATTTAGTGATCCACGGAGATTTTGTGCGATTCGCATCCATCTATTGCTGACTTGAGTGTGCAAGTGAACTGTTGGTATGCTATATTTGCATTTTCAGAAGCTAATACATGTTCCTAATTTAGTACAGATTCGAAGGTTAGTAATTGTGGTTGAGAAATATCACGATTTTCAGCATATTAAGATTATGAGTAGGCCTACAGTGTGGATCAGTTTTATTGATACATAATATGCGGAAATGGTCAGAGATATCTGTGATTAGAACACTGCTGGTTAAAGGGTGAGTAGAATTTAGGTTACAATAAATATTGTCAATTATAGAGGAGTATTTTCAGTAAATCTTGTAGGCTGATTAATTAAAGAGATGAATGAGTGGGAGAGGATATTTTCAACGTGTGATTGAATAGAACAGTCGGAATTATACTGAAGAATGATAAAAGACTGAAATCACCAGTAATATTTTTTTTTAGTATTAATAATCTCCATGATTTTAGATAATTGCTCATTTAAATGAAGTGTACATGGTATATATACTGTCTCTTATATACATCTAGATATTTCGTCACGTATAATGTAGCTAACTATTGTGGACATACAAGGCAACTCCACCACCTCTTTTTTTCTTTTCTGTCTTTATGGATAATATTATAGTTATGAAGATGGTAGAGGTCGATGGTATCTTTGCAAGACAGCCATGTCTCAGTCAAGGCAATGATGGAGAAGTTGAACTCAAGAGAACATATAAAGTAGGCAATTGTATCAAATTTGTTCACAATGCTACAGCAATTTAAACTGTACCACATACTATTAAAAATAACATGAACATATTCGTAAATTCAAGGTTGAAAGAAACTAAATCAGTAAAGTACAGTACCTCGTAGTGTGTTTGTAGCTTACATATTAATAGTCAATGACAGGTCTAAGAGTTCTGGATGTCTAAATTTCCAACTGAAGCTCAGTTTTCATAAAACTGCTACACCGTTTTCACTGCAATTCTTGCACTGCGTAGCTATTCCAAATCAGGAACACTCCCTGATTCAACCGACCAATCAGCGTCATCCAAGGAGTCGGCGATAGCATGTAGCCATTTTTATGGAAACCAAGCTTAAAGCTTGACAGTAAAATAGTGCACAAGACAATGATTATTGAATGCCATAAAGAAGAAACTCAAACATATATCTTACTTCTCTCTCATTAATGAGGCTGTAGCCCTTGGGTTGAACATGCCCTGTGATTTAGGAACTAGCATATCAGTTCTGTTGACTTTCCCACTTTCCTCTGGGGGTGTGCCCTTTTTTTGTTGTTGGGAATATTCTTTAGCTGACTGAGTAGTCTTTTTAGAAACCCCTTCCTCCTCAAGTAGACTCTGCCAAAATTCATCGTCAGATGCCGTAAGGTCATCTACACTGTTGGTCCGCAGCATATTAGATTTCCTGCAAAAGTTCGATAAAAGTTATTATAATTCATGTATTTCATATTTACAATTGCCCTTTTCAAAAATATTTTCTTAACCTTTGTGTTGTGCTACACAATTTATATAGCACATATATTCATTTTAAAAAGTACTGCTCAAAGTGCGTTTTTCTGGTCACTGGATACAGAATCAACCATTCACAATGTGGAATATCCTCTGCTTCTTTAGTGTCCAACTCTTTTACTTAATACCAGGTACCCATTTATACTCTGGGATAAATATATACAAATTTGATGTATGTTGCCCAAAGACACAGGCTGTGCCTCAAACTCACAGTCTCTCAATAAAAACCTGGAGCCATGCTGTTGTGTCCCATTTCTACAACATGATTATTGAAGATGACAATTATACTCTAATTTTTCAAAAAGTTAACTTACTCAAGTGTCTTAATTCCCTTTCTCATACTCTTTCCTCTGCATAATTTCTTTATAGGTTTCTCAGGTTCGGAATCACTATTTGCTGGTTGGATAAGAATTCCTGGCAAAGTTTCTTGTTTCCTTTCTCCAGTATCTTTCAGAAGTTGCTTCAGCTCTATGTTTTCACTTTTGTCATACGGGGGCAGCTTTTCAGGCCATCCCAGAATGCTCTCTGATGACCACCATCGATCTTGCTCACTTAAGGGTCTAGAGTTGAATTAAATCCAGGAAGTTAGAATTATTATTTTTTAAAGAACACAGAAAAAATTAATTTCTGTTAAAACAATCTTCATACCAGTTTGTTCATTTTTTAAATATTAATATTTTAGTAATGCATCATTCAATAATTATTCAAATCTATTAGAGGTCAGAGTGTTAGAGTCAAAAGTTAGAAAGGTCAGCTCACCTCAATGTTGCCCCTTCCAGAGGCTGTGTGAGAAAAACATCAAAAGTTAGTAGATTAAATGACTGAAACGTTCACTATAAACATACAGTGGTTAGAAGTTTATGTAAAACGTGCAACTTTCATGATATTATGAATATGCAAATATACTGTACATTAAAAGATACTTTTACAAGATTGAATTCTATATACTGTATATATTTTATGTTACAATTATTATGATTGAAAATGTTTTCTTTCTGTTGAATTGCAAATTTGCTTCAAATTTTGTCATTTGCATATTCATTGTTTTGCATATTGTTTGAATATTCATAATTTTACGGCCAATCGTATTCATTTACATGTGCACAAGTTATTAATAGACAGATTTTATGTTACAATTATTATGATTGAAAATGTTTTCTTTCTGTTGAATTGCATATTTACTTCAAATTTTGTCATTTGCATATTCATAGTTTTGTATATTTTTTGAATATTCATAATTTTATGGCCAATCGTATTCACTTACATGTGCACAAGTTATTAATAGATTACAAATGTGCTGTGATATCATGTGTGAGTACACAATTCAATTGTCAAAATAAAAAATAAACAAAAATTGTTTAAAGTTACACACAAAAAAATAATACAATCAGTGACCACAATTCAAATGAGCACACACAACACAGATTCATGCAAAAATTAGTTGGTAGTCCTTGTAGAGTATAATGAAGGAAAAGAACAAATACGAATACAAGGTTCACAAAATGACAGTGTGAAAACATCCTCAAACATGCATGTTTGTGAGACATGCACATACCCCTGGCTTTGTTCTGATTGGTCAGTTGTCAAGTATGATTGACATGCCATAAAGGTCCATATAAAGACAAGCAGTTATATCCTCATCCAGTTGAAACATCCAAGGAGTTTCAACTCCAACTCCAACAACAACAATGACCTATAAAATTATGCATGTTTGTGTTTATTTAGTTTTCTTGCTTACCTTAGATGAAGTAACATCATTCCCATTATTCTCATCACCATTGCTTGCTTTCATTTCCTTCATTTCAAAAGCATTTGTCTCATTGCTACGTTTCAAATCCAAAGCCTATGGAAACAATCACAATAGTTTTTATCACTGAAATCTTGTTATTACATAATGCCACATTACAATTTAATTTGAGGGTTAAATTTTTAACAGTTGTTTTATATGAATGTATCAAAATTGTTACAATGATTCAAAGAAGAAATCTTTATTTAAGTTTCTCAATGAAACAAAACCTAAGGCAAGTTCTATTTTGTACTCTCAAAATAGAATAAAGTTCACCTTTTTTGTGGTATTGGGGGTGTCTCCATTTGGAGAATTGGCTATGCATTAAAAGATTGAAGATTGATATTTGGTAGTTTAAAAAAGTTGTCTCAAATAAAGACGGGTCTTGGGTCTCAAGAGGGTGCTTTTTTATTATTACGGAAAGTTTACCATGCAGCAGAGCCCCTTACAGGCAACAGCCAATTGTTCTAGTTTAAAATTTACGTCTAGATTAGTGATTATTTCCTTGAATTTTGTTTGGAGAAAAGTGTTTCCTTTATATGTAAAGCACCAAGAGGAATGTGATACACAAGGGGCAATATAAATGCAGTTTTATTATTATTTTAAATATAATAAATTATATAATTGGTGATCTGCTTCACAAGTGGATCACCCCTTGTTATGGTACCATTCTTTTTCCTTCTGGCGATCGTTGTTGGAACGATATCTCAAAATTGCTAAGAGCTACGAATATGCTCGCTTCAACAGACATTTGACTTGGCCTGGAATAGTCACAATAAGGTTTTCCAAGTGCTCAGTCATGCGTGACATTATCTATGTACAATTTTGCGTGTTTTACATTATCGATCATATCATCCTAACCAATTAATTGTCATTTCCAAATCATATTCAGTGGGCATAATCTTCAGGTCAATGTTGAATGTTATGTATCTTAATTCCACGTGCATGGTTTTCTGACACTGTATACACCTATTTCCATTCTTTTTCGGCCATCTAAGAACCAATAGCAGTGCTGTACGCACACATCAAACATACGAATCCGTGTGCATGTTTTCAGTGAAAATATGCTAAAATATTGCCTATTTTTAATAAGTTAAAGCTCCTTAGATTGAAAGGTGACCCCCAATTTTTATTACATATTCTGAAAGCACATGAGTTGTTGATATGATTTTATAGATAATTATGGCTTATTGGACATTGTGATGTCATCATATAGCCATCTGAATTCATTAAATGCGTATTTTATCTTCGTCATTTTCTAAAATACGCATATGAGCGTATCTCGCTTATCCTTGATCGACCCCTCATAGCACCACTGAAAACTGCATTTTGCTATGGATATTGGCACTTATACAAATCCATTGTTTAAAACAAATAAAATAATAACAAATATAAATAAAAAAATTGAACTCACGCCAGAGTCTGCTTCACTTGCAGTGCGAAAGGCAAAGCTATTGCCTGAAAACAAAGAGTCACTGGTCTGCGAGTTCCTACAGTGTGCCTCCACCACCACGGTTACTGCTGATCGTGGCATGTTTTTGTACGCACTTGGAACAAACTACATATTTCAAAGCAAGTTTTAAAAAAAAGTCTAAATTTAATAAAAATATGACATTAATAAATTTTATAAAAATCAAATGAGTTATGAACTTCCAATATCACACAAATCAGTAGTGACCACTGGTATCACAAGATTGGCACATAGGACATTCCAAGTGACAACCCACCTTAGGGCTACGCCTGGCCTAAACTCACCACAAATAAAAAGGAAGACTTTCGGGAAGACATAAAGACTTCAAAATGCTTCAATGTTATTAATCAAACACAACAGTGAAAGCAAGTGGCTTTGTTCTAGAACAATCTCTTTGTTTCACTTGGTGAGACTTCATTACACCTGCTCATGGTGAAAGGAAATTTGAGGCTTGTTTCATAATGTTGATGCATTATATACGTTTATATCAGTTCATTCAGGTAAGTATTCACCAAATAAGACACAAAAAACCACAACATGTATCAAGCACCCCCTTTAGACAGAGCTTGTCGGACTAAAAAAATATAAAAATAGGCCCACGCCAAGCCAACACATGTCTTTCACAGTCTGAGAGTGTCATTTCTGGCCATCCAGAGGTTCCTATTCTTTAAAAAATTTCATTTTGGAGGGGAACACCCTCTCAAACCATTCCACCAGTCTCGGGCCTACGAGCTCAAGTCCCCCTGTCGGACAGCTCAGCCCCCACCCCCCTCAGAAAATATAACTTAGAGCCGCCACGTGTGTCAGTAGACAAAGTACATTCCATGGAGAATACAATACAACAAGGTGAGTGCAATGTATGTTATTTTTATAATGATACTGCCTGTATATATTTTTATGTATAAAAACAACATTATCACTATCACTCCCAACCAGTGGTGGCACCAGCGGGGTGCATTGGGAGCTTAAGCTCCCCACCAGACAGGTCAAGGTCCCCCGCCGGACAGAGCTCGTCGGGCAGTCAGACCATAAAACATATAAAAATAGGCCCACACCAAGCTACTGTATGTCTGTCACAATCTGAGAGTGCCATTTTCGGCCATCAAGAGTTTGATAGTCTTTAAAACCCCTCAACCCCTTCCTCTAGCTCGAGCCTACGAGCTCAAGTCCCCCCTGTCGGGCAACTTAGCCCCCCAGAAAATATATCCTAGAGCTACCACTGCTCCCAACATTTATATAGTGCCTTTCTTTTCAGATGCAAATCACTAGCATTCTTGCATCCCTAAACCTCCCACACCAATACTCAACTACCCAAATCAAAACAGAAAATTCTCAAATGAAGCAGAGATGAAAACATTAAAACTTTTTAAATCACAAGAATCAAATGTAAAACATGATTCCATGAAGACCGTGCCACAACAATGCGAGCACAACAAATTAATTATGATCACAATGTCACATGCTCAGAGAATGCAGATGAATTATGTTGGCCAATGTAACACTGAATTATAGATTTCAAGTCTTTTGTATCTCACTATAATAACTATACAATAGATACAATAGATCAAGTGTAATGGCATAGTAGAAATACATTTGCCAATGTTCTTAACAAAATCTCCCTCGCAAATATATAGAACAGTCCTTCAAGTATGTAAAGTGGTTTGGCGCAGTGAAAATGGTTTGGTTTTCCAATCTGAAGGTCGGAGTTTCAATCCTTCACTGTGCATTTAACTTGTGTCCTTGAGGAAGACATTTTATCTACATTGCTTCAGTCTACCCAGCTGTATGAATGCGTACCCCCGAAATTGCTGGGAGTAACCAGCGGTAGACCAGTGTCTCACCCAGGGGGAGCATCAAGCTCTTATCCGCTTCATGCTACTTTGAAAATGGTGATAAGCTCCAGGCCATATGAACCTTGGGCTTCGCAAATAACTTGACTTCAAGTACACCACATTGCCTATGCAACCATCCTCAATTACTAATTGGCAATCCAGAAATAGATTACATAAAAAAAAAATATATA